CCCAGACCATCTGTGCAGGAGAGGAGGCAGAGGCTGGGCCCCTGAATGGGAAGGTGAGACACTTCCTGATCATGATATTGTGGCCATGTGTGTAGAAAAGAGGGTCTAGACTTCGGCAGCCTGAGGCTGGTGCAGGGTTAGGACTGTCTTTGGTGGGGCCTGTGACTCCCATGCTGAGAGCTCTGGATGCTTCTACTTTTTAGGACTGGAACTGTCTTCTGGCTTTTATTTTTATAACAACACAAACAGCACCTGGCCTGCCTCTTCAAGCAGGCTGGAGGCTTGTGTCTTTTTTCATCTTGCTTTCCTCTGCAGTTGGCAGGCAGAGTGCTGGGTTGGAGCGATGCGAGCCGTGATTTTCAGGCTTGAGGCAGTCCTCAAGTTGCATTAGGTTATTTCTCTGTGACTTTTTTTAAGAGGCCAAATGATTACTTCTATGGCAAGCCCATAGCAAAAAAAACTCATAGCAGTGGGTGGTAAGAAAATATCAGCATTAAGAAGCAAGATCTTAGAGAGTCTGAAAAGAAAATGCCAGGGAATTCCAAGAAGCCATGCAATCATTGCTTGATATCAGGCCTGTCATTTTAGCTCATAGGAGAGATGGAAAATTACAGGCTGTCATCGGTCAGCGTCATTCACGCTTCTCTGCTCTGACACCCTGTACTCAGAGGTTACTTCATCAAAACGCAGTGGCATGGACCATTGAACCGATGTGGGCATGCCAGCCTCGTTTCTCTGAGTCATGAGTTCTTCCTTGGCGTTTTCTTGTGTCCTAACACACAAGTGCCCTAAAGATAACTGTCAAGCCCCTCACATTTGCTGGCTGTATGGGTTTGGTTCAGGAGATAACGGCATGTGCCTGGATCTCAGGATATGCCCATCAGTTGGCAGGGTGGCGACAGGAAGGTTGGGCATCTCCCTCAGAGGGGAGTGTGAAACCAGCTGGGAAGTGGCATGGGGAGAGGCTGGGAGGCAGCTAAAAGTTGGCCTGGGAAAGGGGGTGGGCCAGAGAGTGCTGGGCAGCATTGGAGAAGATGCCACACATTCAGAACCTGGGTGCTGAGGGAGGTCTTGGTGGAGGAAGCCTTGTTTTTTACAAACACCTTCATGTAGTCTTCTCAAAGTGTGTTCAACAGATCCTTCAGTGCAGGATAGTTAGAAACAAAATTAGGATATTATTTTTAATCTCTTACAAATAGAAACAATGCAGTAACAAACAGTATTTTCAAGAGATTAAAAATAATGTCCTAGCTCAAATTTTTTTCCACATCCATCATGATGGCCTTTGGAAAAATTCTGAGAAGTTGAGTTGCTGGATTAAAAATTATTCTTACACTGGCCAGGCACGGTGGCTCATGCCTGTAATCCCAGCACTTTTGGAAGCTGAGGTGAATGGATCACTTGAGGTCAGGAGTTTGAGACCAGCCTGGCCAACATGGTGAAACCTCCATCTCTACAAAAATTACAAAAATTAGCTGGGTGTGGTGGGGCGCACCTGTAATCCTAGTTACTCAGAAGGCTGAAGTATGAGAATCGTTTGAACCCAGGAGGAGGAGGTTGCAGTGAGTCAAGATGGAGCAACTGCCCTCCAGCCTGGGTGCACAGTAAATTCTGTCTCAAAAAAATTACTCTTTCAGGCTTTTGGTTCACACTTCCCGATTGCTCACTGCAATGGCTATACCAGTTGAATTTCTGGGAGCAGTTTTTTAAAGTACTGGTTTCCTTAACCCTAGCCCACAGTGATGAAGGTAGGTTTATTTAAACTGTTTTATGCTTTTTTTGTGATAGTGTGTATCCTGGACTTCACAGTTATGATGAAGGAAGCATCATGCTCTAATTCCTGGTATTACACGTTCAGTTTTGTAATTTAGGCAAAGGTAAACTATTGGTTATTAGTTTTAGAGAAGTAGTCTTTATTGTACTTAAAAAATGTCCTTCTATTCCTATTTTTAGGCTTTTTATTAAGAATGCCTGCTGTATTTAATTAAATGTCTTTTCAGTATTTATTGAAAAACATCCTTCATTTTTTCTCTTTCCATGTGTTGGTGTTATGAATAACGTTGACTGATTTCCTGACAGTGAACCATCACTGCATCCTGGGAATGTGTTCCCTGCTTGAGAATTTAGACACATTCCTGGACTCTTTTTCTTTGTGTGTGTGTGTGTGTGTGTGTGTGTGTGTGTGTGTGTGTGTGTGTGAAGGTATTCTGTGTATCATTTTAATCATGTTTACACACATGCGTCTCTCCTGTGAAACTCCCATTTTAAAATAAATTATTCTTGCATAACATGCCTGGATTTGTATGTTAGACAAGGACATGGGGCCAAGTCATTGTTTGGATTCCAGTCATTCCTGCAACCAAAACCAATGCTTCACAATTTATTCATTTTTAAAAATCACAAGCCATGTGGTTTCAAGGCGCTTTAATTTGAATTCGATTAAAAAGAATTTAACAAGTCAACTTTTCCCAAACAAAACTTTATTCTACTATTTTCCTTAGGAGCTCAGTGAATATAAATACTAAATTTCAATGTAAAATCTTTAGAAACACCTTAAAACTATTTAAACAGTGGTAGTTTGCATCTCCTTGTTTGTAATCACTGAGCCCATGAAATTCAAAGCCAGACAAATCCTTGCACTACTAAGAGTCATAAGCCTGAACATCTTAAACAATATCCTCAGTCAAAGCTTTGGAATCCAGTAAGAATCAGGAAAGGAGTGGGATTCAGGACATCTGAGCACAAACTAGCACAACCCCACAAAACATGTTCGAGTTTTCATCCTGGACCCTATTTCTAATAGCATGTTAGAATTAAAAACAGAATTCTACCTCTGTACTTATAAGTGAGATTAGTCTACAGTTTCATTTTTATATTATTTTAAATCAGGTTTTATAATGACAATTACACTGGCTATTTAAAACAAACTAAGGAGCTGTACGTTTTCACCCTATGGCCTTGGGATAGTTTAAGTAAAATTATCTGTATTTTGGGGACTTGACAAAACTCAGCTATACATTTTTCTATAGTAGATTTTTCTTGAAAAAATCCATGGTACTTGCTCTAGTTCAAGTTTCTTTTTTGATAAGTTAATTTTTACATTTTGCAAGCATTCACTCATTTCCTCTAGGTTCTAACATTTGTTGCCTTAGAGTTGCAATGCAGTGTTGTTATTTTTTGAGATGGAGTCTTGTTCTGTCACCTAGGCTGGAGTGCAGGGATGTAATCTCAGCTCACTGCAACCTCTACCTCCTGGGTTCAAGTGATTCTCCTGCCTTAGCCTCATGAGTAGCTAGGATTACAGGATTACAGGCATGTGCCACCATGCCCAGCTAACTGTTGTATTCTTAGTAGAGATGGGATTTCACCATGTTGGCCAGGCTGGTCTTGAACTCCTGACCTCCAGTGGTTCACCTGTCTCGGCTTCCCAAAGTGCTGGGATTATAGGCGCGAACCACCGTGCCCGGCCTAGTGTTGTATTTCAATTCTTTTCATCCTTCTGTATCTGCAATAAAATTCCCTTCCTCATCCCTCATTCCTCATCTATTTTTGTTTGCTCTTTTTGTTTCTTTGAAGGGTTGTAAAGAATTAATATTGTGAAGGATTATTCTTTGTTGCCACTTTTGTTCTCTTTCCATTTCTTAGAACAAATACTTCCTTTTCAGGCTTTTAAGCCACAGATATTCCTTGGTACTGCCTTCTCTGCATCCCGTTAGTTTTGATACAAAATAGTCTTTTTCATTGCTTTTGAGACCATTGGTAGTTTTCCTTTTTAAATTTCCTCTTTGACCCAATAGATATATCCAGGAATGTTTCTTTAATTATCAGAAAATATAGCCTACAACATCTACTTTTACAAAAATTCAAAGTTTCTTTAGTGATATACTTTTTTATATGTGGGCATATTAAAAAATTTTATGGGACTGATGAAGGTTTTCTGTATTAAACCAAACTTGTTTATATTATTCAATTTTCCTGTCATCCTGTCTCCTTCGTGCGTACTATTTATATTTTAAATTAAGCTCTTATGTTAATCACTCGTTTTATGTATTTATGTTGTTTGATATAGATCAGCTATTCCACGCTTAGTGCTCGGAACCCTAAATTCCACACTGCTTGATGCCAGCATTCCTGCGTGCGTTTTGTTCACCTGTCATCACTATTCTCACCACTTGAAGGGCAACCTTTTATTATCACTTTGTGTTTCTTGGAAAGAAGTTGTTGCTAGTTTTCCTTCGTTTCTTTTTAAACCCAATCTGCTCATCTCTGCTTATCTCTGCTTTTAATTGGAGAATTGTCATATTTGGTGTAATGAGATGTTCACTTCTCAACTACCGATTTCAAACAACATTGTCTGTATCCTCTCTTATCACAATCAAGTGAAGTTCTGAGTATTTTTACTTCCCCTTTCTGCATACTCCCTATTTTATTTTTCACTCTGTCACTCAGGCTGGAGTGCAGTGGCATGATCTCGACTTACTGCAGCCTCCACCTTCTGGGCTCAAGCAGTTCTGCCTCAGCCGATCAAGTAGCTAGGACTACAGGTGCGTCATCACGCCTGGCTCATTACTGTATTTTTTTGTAGAGACGTGGTTTTGCTAGGTTGCCTTGGCTGGTCTCGAACTTCAGAGCTCAAGTAATCCTCCTGCCTCAGCCTCCCAAAGTGCTAGGATTACAGGTATGAGCCACTGCACCTGGTTCCTGCTCTTATGTTTAGTTACAGCTTGGTATCAGAATTTATCTTTCATTGTCTCTCTCCTAATTGAAATGTCCTCCACGAGCACTTATTACACATTTCCAGAGAGTCTCTCTGCACCCATTTTACTTTTAACCTTAGATCTTCCTCTCCTGCTTCATTACTTACCACTATCTCTGTCCACCTTGATGTCTCCAGTCTGGGTCATTTGATGTTTGTCTAGTATCTTTCCTTAGGTGTGGCCCATGAGTGACGGGCTCCCTGAGTTCCTCCCTACTGATATATCCTTCTTTTGTCCTGACAGGTAAATGACATCTTGCTTGGGAATAGAACTCTTGGAGCATGTAGATATGATTCCACGGTCTTCCAGCTACTATTGCAGGTGAGAAGTCCACTGTCAATTTGATTAATTTTTCTTAAAATTTGGAGTTCCGGAACTTTATCACTAGTGAAGAGATGTGTCATTTCTCATCACTTTAGCCAGGGACTTGTAGATCCCTTTTAATCTACAAGATTAAGTTTCTTTAACTTGGATATTTTATTGGAAACTTATCTTTTCTTCCCACTTCACGTCTCAACCTCTTCATGGGTTTTCTCTGTGATTTGAGAGAGCTTTTTCTTTTTCTTTTTTTAAAGACAGAGTCTTGCTCTGCGTAGAGTGCAGTGGCACCGTCTTGGCTCAATGCAACCTCTGCCTCCTGGGTTCATGTGATTTTCCTGCCTCCTGAGTAGCTGAGACTACAGGTGTGCACCATCAAGCCCAGCTTATTTTTAATATATATGGGGGTTTCACTATGTTGGCCAGGCTGCTCTCAAACTCCTGACCTTGGGTGATCTGCCTGCTTTGGCCTCCCAAAGTGCTGGGATTACAGGCATGAGCCACCACAACTGGTCACATTTTTGAACACATCTATTGCAGTTTTAAACTGGGAAATAATTTTTGTTGTTTTTCTGGTGGCCCTTGAATTTTCTGAAATGCTTTCTCATTTTTTGTGGTATTTCTGGCAACTATATTTATTTGGGCTGGTACTCTGTTCTGAGTGACCTTTATTCTGGCGTCCAGGCTCTCTGATAGGTTATTACTACTTTTTGTCAGCTCACTGGGCCTAAGAATGGTTGGCAGCATCCCCTGAGTGACAATGGCCTCAGCATATAGAAACTGAAGTCATGAGTGGTGCAGAGGCGCAGGTAGGTGGTCAGTCCCTGGAGGAAGGTCCTCCAGACCCTGGTCTATCTGCCCTCTTGCCAGTATTGGTCCCAGAGGGTTCTGGAGGGGAGTTAGCTCCATTTGCGGTTCTTCTCACCTGGGGTTCTGAGAGAGAGAGAGATACCCAATCTCCAGAGGGATCCATTATATGTAATGAGTTAACTTTTCTGCTGTGCACCCAGAATGGTTCTATGCACCAACTTTGGGAGAATTGAGAAAACAGGTATTCAAATCACTTTTTATAAGGCTCAGTCCTCTTACGATGGGCAAGGCTTGGCAGGGCAGACTCAAGTTTCTTAAGTCAGGGTTGCTATTGACCTTTCCTGGCTGATGGGGGAAGGAGTTCCACGGATGTCGAGCCCAGGCTCTACCCGAGGGAGTGCTAGATGTTTGGGCTCCAGGACCACATTGTCCAGGGTGGACCAGGTAAATTATGGAACTTTTCTATATTAACACACTGTAAGCACTTAGTAAGTGGGCTTTTGTTTATGGATGTAATTGATGCTGCCTCTCCTTCTTCACTGGCCAACATCTTCTGCTTGCTTTGACGCTATTCTCCAACCTCCCTTCTTACTTTTAGACCCCAGAGCCTCATTCTGTTGGGACCCAGGAGCTATTGGCTTGAGAGAGGCAAGATGTGGGGACTGGGTGCCACGTTCTGGGTGTTGTGAAGCCAGACTCCTATTCATCATCATCACTGCTGTCTTTAATTGCCTGGGAGGGGCATTGGGCTGAGGCTGCTTCCTACTCTCTCCTTGAGCCTTTATGGATGTATTTGGGATAAATGTAATCCACCACCTGGGGAAGCAGGAGATTCTTATTTTATAGAGTGAGAGTTCTTCTCTCAATGGAGTGTGGGCATCAGCCTCCATGTGCTCAACATACCTGGAGGCTTGGTTGGGACTTGTGCACGTCCCCCCAGCTCAGGACCCACACTTGATCATGTGACTTGTCATAGGACAGCTTAGCCGGCAGAGGGTCCACACCTATGGACTTGAAAAAAAATAGTGACAAGTTGGTCATCGTTGTAAGAGCTGACATGATGGTATTTCTGAGTGTTGTATGCATGGGCTCACTCCTGGGTGAGGGAAAAGCCAGTCTAGGAGTCTTGCCAATGGTCCCATTTGGGAGCCCAGGGCAGAAGCTTCGCCTCTGGCTTTTTTCTCAGAGGTGTAAACTTAGTTGTCGATAATGTTCCTTATTTTCCTGCATGTTTTACTTAAAGGGACCTGGACCAACATGGCAAAAGTCTGAACACAGAGGCTTTAAGTGTGTCACTCAGGAACCAGCTCTAGGGTTCCCTCCCTCTTCCTGGAAGCCTTATACCCTCAGCATCCTTCCCTAGACTACTTTGTGGCCTGGATTCTAGCCTAGATTCTGGTGAGTTGGTCCTTCCTCCTAGGTTATCTTTCCTCCTGGGTCATCTGAGGTGGACTTTGAGATCATCCATTATCACCCCTCTCAATCTTTGTTCTACTCTAAGCAGTTTCTATCTTGCACAGCTTTTGACTGGCGCCTCTGGGACTCAGACTATAGCATCAGCAGACATGCGTTTTTTTAACTGCAATACTGCTATCCCCTGATGACACAGCTTCTCCTATGGCTCTGTCAAATGAAAGCTGTTTTCTACTTCTTATAATATAGATTACCCACTCAAAAACTCCATTCTATAATGCTCGCGTCACTAGACTATGGCCCCCTGCTCCTCTTCTTGGTCAACATTCTAGTCACTCGCTTTGCTCACTGTCGTCCTCTCTACCGCTCACTTGGTCACTAAGTTTGGTGCCTTCAAATCCACGTGGAAGATTCATCCGACGCCCTCCTTTCTTAGTTCCTTCTTGGTTTCAATGATCTTTTCTTCCTCCCCACCTCAGCCACCATAACTTACACTTGGTTTTATTTCACCCACCTATATTCTAGTATTCTAGTCTTTCCAATGGGGTGGTGGGGGTGGGGGAGGGAGAAAAACTGCATCATCTCTGCCTCCATTGGTCAAAACTTTTCTAAAGAAGTAAGTTTTACCAAGTTTCTGACTTCATGCCAAATTCAGAGATCATTTTGTAATCCTCCTATGTGACATTTCGGTAAGATTCCACATGATTAACTCTACCCTTACCTCATGTGGCCTCCCGCTGCCCTGGCTTCTCCTCTTCATTCTGCTTTCAACTTTGACCTTTGATCATCTTCTCTCTTTCTACATCCTTTTACTGGCATGTCACGGCTTCTAATAACCACCTGTACCCTGATGACGCTAGAATTCATTCATCTGTTGATGATCTCAACCTAATGTATGCAGAATTAAACTCTTTTTTCCACCCAGCTGAAATATATCTCTTCTCCAGTCCTCACCATCTTTAAAGTCTCCCTTTTCTATCTTGCTTTAATTTAAAACTCTTATCCCCTAAGCCTTAAGTAGACGCTGTTTTTATTTTCATATCCCAAGTCCTTTGTGGCCTCCAGCAACCTATATTTGCTCCTGCCAGCTTCTCTTCATTCACCAAAGGCTTTAGCACTGGACATTGTCTTCCTCTATCCAGAACTTCCTAACCCATCAGTAATGATACCACCTTGACAACACATTCTTCTCCAGCTATTCTGTTAATTTTTACTCTTCACAGCAAAAATTCCCTAAAGTTTGGACTTTAGCTACTCTCTCTCCTTTCTACTTAACCTTCTCTCATTGGATTTCATACTCTTATTCTGAGGTGGTGTGGAGCAGGAGTCTGGAGAACTTAAACCAAAAATCAGTCAAATTCAGGACAATTTTTCACAGTCTGTCTCACTTTTTCACAATTTTTCACCTGTGCTGAGGAGCAAGGCTATAGCAGGGAAGAGACCTGATCCTGGTGAACAAGCTCTAGGATTAAGGGCAAATCAGAGGCAGGCTGAGTCCTACAGAAGCTTCAACGCAGTTTCTACTCTCTGCCTAGCAGAGGAAAGTGTAATTTTCTATATAGAGCATTTGGCATTAAAAATTACTAGGCATTCTATGACTGAACAATATAATGATGTAATACCTGAAATAAGAACTTAATGAAAAGGTTGACTAGAAATAAAATATAGGTTGACAGAACATGTTCCAGATTGAAGTAGAAAGAGACATGTGGGATGCAAAGAAAAGTCCTAACTTTTTTTAAGCAGAGTTTCCAAAGAAGAGGTGAGAGAGAAAAAGAGGCAGAACATTTGAAAAAAATAATGGCTGACATTTTTTCAATCTGATGAAAGATATCAATACACATATTCTATGTAAATTCCAAATCATAATAAATACAAAGAATACCATATGCGCACACATCATAAACTGCTAAAGACCACAGAGAAGAATAATACAGTACCTTCAAAATAGCAACAATAAGACTGACCACTGACCTATCAACAAAAATAACTGAAGATAATGAAACGATACCTTAGATATCTTAAAATGCTGAAAGGAAAGAACTGCCAACATAAAATTCTATACCCAGTGAAAAAAAGAATGTAAAGATATTTATTTGTTGTTTTAGAGGCAGAGTCTACCTGTGTCACCCAGGCTGGTGCAATCTCAGCGCACTACAACCTCTGCCTCCTGGGTTCAAGTGATTCTCCTGCCTCAGCCTCCTGAGTAGCTGGGATTACAGGTGTGTGCCACCATGCCTGGCTAATTTTTGTATTTTTAGTAGAGATGGGGTTTCACCCTGTTAGCCAAGCAGGTCTCAAACTCCTGAACTCAAGTGATTCATCTGCCTCAGCCTCCCAAAGTGCTGAGATTATAGGCGTGAACCACTGCGCCTGGCCTGAGAAACAGAAAGTAAAGGTATTTGAAAAGAAAAACTGAGAACCTGTTGCCAACAGATGTCCAATCAAAGTTGTGTTAGAACTATTCAGGAATAAATGGCAAATGTGTGGGTGAATATAGGTTAATGTCCTGTGGGGTTAAATTACATAGAGTTAAAATTCATTACCACAACAATGCAAAAGTAAGGGTGAGGGGGGGTTGAAGGAGTTAAAGTGTTTTAAGGTTCTAGCATTATTGGTGATATGAAGTAACAGTTTGTATGAGACTGTATGGATGCAGTAACACATGTTATAATGACTATGATGTTAACAGCATAAAAGAGTGCATTGTCAACAATAGAAAAAAATGTTTGCCAAATCCACAAGAAAGCAACATAAACAGGTAGGTCAAAAAAAGTAAG